GATACTCGAGGTAAAAGCGCTGGACTGCGATAAAAGCTCGCTGAAAAGCGGTTTGCAATCAAATCCAGATGTTTTCGCTGCGATAAGTGCCTTGTAGTGTGATGTGGGCGGTCGTAGATCCTAGGCTGGTGGAAAGCTGTGGCGTAGCCGACAGGAGTCGTTTGCCGGGCTCGTACAAGTTCATACACCACATAATATCGGCTGGAGAGCTCCGCTGCGAGCCGCGCCTCGACTGATGGACCGGCGCAGGCGCATGCAGGTCAGATGGCGGGCCGTCAGCACACTTAACAACATTTGAGGAACGCATGTGGTCTCCAGTCGTTCTGAGTACGTCTTGAAAACACAGGTACAGGTTTGAAATCTATTGGTGCTCTTTTTAAAACCATTTTCATTGCAGTTTAGTTTCTTTAGCAGTATCAACATCGTGTCCGAGACATTTAGTAATATTCGTATAGCAAAGAAAATGCATGTGAGAGCGTTACATAACACGAAAGTCCCCTTTTAACTTCCTCCCAAACCGCTATGAATTTCCCCGGCTGGTCCGAGACCCATTTGAGACCTTTGATGGGGCTCAGGCGACGGTTTTGTAGAACCTTTAGAGGTTGATTCCCGAGGTGCTGTTCTCACCTTTCTTCCTTTCCGGTCCGGACTACCAGTACTAAGGAGCATTGTTTAACTACATACAATCCTGGTTTCAGTGCATGATTATATATATATATATATATATCAAACGGCCCGGCTCAATCGGCGCTGCTGCACTCGTACAAAACACCTTCAGCTTGCATCAGCCGACCGCGGCGTAACCCCAGCCAACAGCGGTGTAACCACAGCCGACTGCGGCGTAACCCCAGCCAACAGCGGTGCAACCACAGCCGACTGCGGCGTAACCCCAGCCAACAGCGGTGCAACCACAGCCGACTGCGGCGTAACCCCAGCCGACAGCGGTGCAACCACAGCAGACTGCGGCGTAACCCCAGCCGACAGCGGTGTAACCACAGCCGACTGCGGCGTAACCCCAGCCAACAGCGGTGTAACCACAGCAGACTGCGGCGTAACCCAGCCACAATGCGGTGTAACCACAGCGACTGCGGCGTAACCCAGCCGACAGCGGTGTTGTTGTAACACAGCAGACGCGGGGCGTAACCCCAGCCAAACAGCGGGTGTAACCACAGCCGACTGCGGAACCCCAGCCAACAGCGGTGCAACCACAGCCGACTGCGGCGTAACCCAGCCGACAGCGGTGTACCACAGCCGACTGCGGCGTAACCCAGCCGACAGCGGTGTGTAACCACAGCGACGCGGCGTAACCCAGCCGACAGCGGTGTAACCACAGCCGACTGCGGCGTAACCCAGCCAACAGCGGTTGCAACCACAGCCGACTGCGGCGTAACCCCAGCCGACAGCGTTGTAAACCACAGCCGACCGCGGCGTAACCCCACCGACAGCGGTGTAACCACAGACGATGCGGCGTAACCCCAGCCGACAGCGGTGTAACCACAGCCGACTGCGGCGTAACCCCAGCCGACAGCGGTGTAACCACAGCCGACTGCGGCGTAACCCCAGCCGACAGCGGTGTAACCACAGCCGACAGCGGTGTAACCACAGCCGACAGAAGCGTAACCCCAGCCGACAGCGGGTAACCACAGCCGACGGCGGACCGTAACCACAGCCGACAGCGGTGCAACCACAGCGACGCGGCGTAACCACAGCCGACAGTAGCGTAACCCAGCCGGACAGCGGTGTAACACAGCCGACTGCGCGTAACCACAGCCGACAGCGGTGCAACCACAGCCGACCGCGGCGTAACCACAGCCGACAGTAGCGTAACCCCAGCCGACAGCGGTGTAACCACAGCCGACTGCGGCGTAACCACAGCCGACAGCGGTGCAACCACAGCCGACCGCGGCGTAACCACAGCCGACAGTAGCGTAACCCCAGCCGACAGCGGTGTAACCACAGCCGACTGCGGCGTAACCACAGCCGACAGCGGTGCAACCACAGCCGACCGCGGCGTAACCACAGCCGACAGCGGTGCAACCACAGCCGACCGCGGCGTAACCACAGCCGACAGCGGTGCAACCACAGCCGACCGCAGCGTAACCACAGCCGACAGCGGTGCAAATACAGCCGACCGCGGCGTAACCACAGCCGACAGCGGTGTAACTACAGCCGACCGCGGCGTAACCACAGCCGACAGCGGTACAACCACAGCCGACCGCGGCGTAACCACAGCTGACAGCGGTGCAACCACAGCCGACCGCAGCGTAACCACAGCCGACAGCGGTACAACCACAGCCGACCGCGGCGTAACCACAGCTGACAGCGGTGCAACCACAGCCGACAGCAGCGTAACCACAGCTGACGGCGGTGCAATCGCAGCCGACAGCAGCGTAACCGCAGCTGACCCAATGTACCCAAGCATTCGCCTAGAATCTTATTCCTCCAGAGGATCCATCCACATATTTATTGAATTTGGGGAGCTGGAGCCTTCCTCCGACTGAAAAGAAAACCACACCCCTAATGTCCACCACATGCTTATGGGAATTTCGGGCCTGGATGGGCATGGATGGGATTGGACGCCGGATGGCCAGAGGGGTTCTTATGGGACGATACGGCCCCGTACAGGACGAGACGGACCCGGCCTGGTCCAGGACGGTCCAGGGCCGTCCCGCTCTGGACGCATTCGGCCCCGTTCCGTTTCTATAATTCACGTCCTCGTCGTCCGATACCGTCTCACGACGTAAAATCCTGCATAATCCAGTGTTATCCAGTCTAGTCTAGCCCTATTCTAGGTATCGACCGGTTCCATCCGGTTCCATCAGGTTTCGTCCAGTTCCAACCAATTCCATCAGGTCTCGACCAGTTCCATCCGGTACCGTCAAGTACTGTCCAGTGCCGTCTAGTTTTATCCGGCCCATCTGACCTCTGTGACCCTCCATCCTATCCCTCTGGTCCCATTTTGTAGCGCCCGGCTCCATCTCCGGTGCCGTCCGATTCCATCCGACTCCGTCCGGGCACGTCTGGCGCCATCTGGTCAGAAACGTAACGTGCGGGCCTGTCCGGTCCGGTCAGGTCGCTCCCCGGTCCGATCCAGGCTGGTCTGGCCCAGTCCTATTCCGTCCATTTTCGTCCAGCCATATCCGGTGCTGTCCGATTCCATCTGGTCCCGTTTGATCCTGTTCGGTTTCATCCGGTCCTATCTGGCCCCATAGGGTCTCCCGTCTCGTTTGGCATGGCTACGTCTTTCCTCATGAAATTGTGTCCGGTTTCGTCCGGTCGGTTCCGGTTCCGTCCGTCGCCATGCGGCCCCGTTCTGTCCCGCCTGTTTGTTTTTTCGGTCACCGTCAGTCTGCGAGGGGCCGCGCGCGTGGTAGGAAGCGTCCAGATGCCACCTGAGACTGGCTTGGCTTAGGCTCACATTTTTCCTTCACTACGTTGGCAGTGATTGTTTCGTGATGTGACGTCATCGGACAATCAGCTGTAAATGTTTGTGACCCTCGCTTTCTTCGCATGATCGCCGGGATTGTCGGGGTAGGCCTCGCACTTCCTAGCATGGTCCCAATCAGCGGAATCCAGGATGAAACCCATGCAATTCTGGCACCAGCAGGTTTTTTAAACGCTTCTAGCACATTCTTTTGGCTCTATTTGCAATAAAATGACGACGAAAATCGTTTTATCTCACACCTATCAAACGGTTGCCAACCGTACACCTGCGATGCGGCGCCCAGTGTGCGAGGCCTACGCCGGCGATGCGTGAGTTTGTTAGATAAGTCAGGAGGGGGGAGGGGCGTAGGGAACAGTGGGTCTAAGCCTCCCTCTCAGAATACACCAAAACGCCGGGGACTGCCTGGATTTGAACCTCTTCCCTCGCAAGTTGAGGATGGTTGTTGAGAATACGCCACCAAAAGTCACTGCTGTTTGAACAGAATGTTCACACAGAGCTCGGAATGCAAATTATCTGGGGAAAAACATTATCTAAGTGCTGTAGGAGGGTGGCTGTGAGAAGCGGGGCTCCTTCTGTTCGACCATTTCTGTTTCTTGCTGCACAGTTTTTTTTGGCAGTATCTCCTAATTCACCACTCACAGATAACATGGCACCATGCAATTTGAACCACCTACAAATACACATCCTTATGTGAGGCACGTCGGCCTAGCACGGATGTGAAAACATAACTGCACTAAAAATACAACTCTGACAAAAACACCTAAAACCAATAAAGCCTTAGTAGCAGACCTGTCAGCCCAACGCCCAATGTGGCGGTCGTGCCTGCGCATGGTGTGTCTGAGATAGCACTCAAAGGACCCAGCATCATTTTCAAAAAGATTTTCTCGCATGTGGGACCCCGTGTTCTTGGCTGAGAGCCGGTGTAAGTATTATCGCTAAGTGGAGAAGTTGCACGTTTTGTGTCAAGGCGCGTTGGAATTTTTCTTTATTGGTCAGTTAGGTCTCAAAAGCAAGCTAGTTTGGTTCTCTCACACGCTTTCTGAGTCTTATGACAAGTTTGATGCAAATCTTTTCCAGGAAACGTCTCCAGGCTGTTCCGAAGTTCAGACCGACAGGCAACTAGCTGTGCGGTGATAGGCGTGGTGCTTAGCGATCGTGAGACAGACAAACGTGACGAACGTGAGGCAGACAAACGTAACGACCGTGAGAGAGACAAACGTAACGAACGTGAGACAGACAATCGTGAGACAGACAAACGCGTCGAACGTCAGACAAACAAACGTTACGAACGTGAGACAGACAATCGTGAGACAGACAAACGTGACGAACGCCAGACAGACAAACGCGACTGACGTCAGACAGACAAACGCGACTGACGCCAGACAGACAAACGCGACTGACGTCAGACAGACAAACGCGACTGACGTCAGACAGACAAACGCGACTGACGTCAGACAGACAAACGCGACTGACGTCAGACAGACAAACGCGCCTGACGCCCGTGACTGGCCGCCGTCGGCGGCGTGCCTCCTGACCGTGGTCGGCCTGCACGCAGATGAAGGACCTTCATCACGACCACCTGGTCCGCTTCATCGGCATGAGCGCCGAGCCCCCGCATCAGGCGCTCTTCACCGAGTACTGCCCCAAGGGAAGCCTGCAGGACATCCTGGAGAACGACGAGATCAAGCTGGACTGGATGTTCCGCTACAGCCTGATGCACGACATTGTCAAGGTGAAGGCCGGCAGGGCGGCTCGCCGCAGGCCCCTCGCAACCACACTGATGGCGGACACAGAGGTCAGCCGCGTAAAATGAAACGCCATCGGCGTCGTCACTGATGGAGTGCTTCCCTCCGTTGAAAAGCTCGCGCAATCATAAACCAGCCAGGAAGCGTCACGTTTGAATGCCGTTGCATGCGATTCGATTTTTGCTGATAAATTGTTGTTTCCTGAATTGCCTGAATCACGTGGACACAAATGAAGCCAATAGCTCCCAAACATCTGTCAGCCTCTGCCAATATGTCATCCAATAATTATCAAACCCGAACTTTGCGTCCGAGTGCTGAAGTTTCAACTGGAAAGTTGTACTTAAAAAGTTTCTAAGTGTTGACAACATTGGTTGGTTGGGCGTGGTGGTAGGTGCAGTAGTTTGTTGTGTTTAATCGAAGGCACATATTTCTTGCATTGTGCGACTGGCTCAAGATAAAGCAACCTTACGTTACAAAAGTTAGGAGCGCGCAATTAGGGCGGGAAGGGGTCCGTTCGCAGAATGCCTAAACCACAACAGAAATGTCTAGCTGACTGAACACCGGCAAGGAAGGAAAGTTTATTTCACGCATAAAACTCCTACTTGAGGCACTCAAGCACGGCTCACACCAACCCAAGCAGCAATGTCGCCTGTTATCATGGGTTCACTAGATCACGGACTTTGCCGAGGCCGTTCGCTGGCGGGAGCACGCTGGCATGGGGTCTGGCTGGGCCGGGACGGTCGTCCGCAGGCGCGCGCTGTGCCGGCCGCCGTCGCGCCCCCGTGCCCGTCTGCCCGGGCCCAGCGCGGCCCGGCCGCTGCCCGTCACGGCTGCCCGGGACGGAAGGCTCATTATCATCTGCCGACCGCGGCCTGCCCCGGCCACCACCCATTTCCATAAAGAGAGCGTTACCGCCGCCGTCTGCCGATGCGTCGGACTCGGCGGCGAGGCGGCGAGCGGCGCCGCGGCCGTTCGACGCCGTCAGCGGCGACCGGGCCGGGGCGCGCGCCCGAGCGGCTTGGTCGTGGCGTGCGTCCGTCCGGGCGGCCGGGTCGAGCGTGCGCCCCAGCGGCCGGCGCCGGCGTGCGTGGCACGGCGTCCGCTGCCGGGCCTGTCAGGAGACATGACAGCCGGCCAGCGGTGTCTGTCACGTCGTGTGACACCCGGCGACCTTGGCCCGTCCGCGCGTCAAGACAAACGGAACTCGCGAGCCCGCGACCGTCCGCATGTCAGGGCATGCCCATCTTGGTGCGCCTGGGCTCTTGAGCACTTCACAAATGGTTGAACCCGTGGAGTGTGTGCGGAATCGGGACTTCATTCGCTGTCGCCGGCCTTTGGCCGAGTGGATTAAATGAAAGGCTGGTGGTTCATCGGACCTGGTCTGTAGTCCCGGAGAAGGAGAGGCAGAGAGGCCGCGTGCTGGGCTCGATCGTACACAGAGCGGTCATTACACACAGCCTGCAGCTGGCGGCTGGCCAGAGAGGCCCGGTCGGGAGAAGGCCCCAGCGTAGCATGGAATAACTGGAAACAGCTACCCCCTAAATCTTCGCTGGCAAAAGCCTGGGGGTAGATCGTCCAGTGAATTGGAGTGGCGTTGCCGGGGTAGTCTGGTCAGAGAGCAGGCAACAAGTTCAGTTCAGCATGCACTCTGAGACCGGTGTCATCCATGCAAACCAGTCGGAATGAAATAGCGTATTAAAACGCGGGCCAACAGCCTTCTGTTCTCGTTGATCTCTGCCCTGCCGCTGCAATGAATGGTGGAACCGACACCCACTCCGGCATGACTGGTGATGAAGGGCGCCGGCGGCATCCGCAGCGGCTCCTCGGGGGGCTCTGTGGCCTCCGCAGCGGCTCCTCTGGGGGCTCTATGGCCTCTGCAGCGGCTCCTCTGGGGCTCTGTGGCATCCGCAGCGGCTCCTCTGGGGGCTATGTGGCGTCCGAAGCGGCTCCTCTGGGGGCTCTGTGGCATCCGCAACGGCTCCTCTGGGGGCTCTGTGGCATCAGCAACGGCTCCTCTGGGGGCTCTGTGGCATACGCAGCGGCTCCTCTGGGGCTCTGTGGCATACGCAGCGGCTCCTCTGGGGCTCTGTGGTATCCGCAGCGGCTCCTCTGGGGACTCTGTGGCATCCGCGGCTACTCCTCTGGGGGCTCTATATGGCCTTCCCAGGAAGTGGCCAACGTCCGGCTAGCGTGGCATCTTGAAAAGCACGGTTGTCCTCCCATTGTGCTTTTTAAGACGAACAACCGTAGGTCACAAAAAGGACACGAGATAGCTGTTTTGAGCCCGGCTCGATGATTCATTAGCGGTGCGCGCGAGATAACATGGGGCTTTTTATCGAAACTTGTATGAGCTTTTAAACTTTTAAGCAGTTAAGCCCTTAAGCTCTCAAGCTCTTTGCTCTGTCGCGCGGCCTGATAATTTCGTATTATTATAAACATAATGTGTTTATAACAATACGATGTGTTTATAACAATACGATGTGTTTATAATAATAATATAACATGTTTCACGGATATGCGTGGTTGCGTTATTACTAGCGGGAGTATCTAATTCCGGTTTGATCCATTTCACGATGCTTGCATCTGTCAGACGCTGGTGAGCAGCGTTCCAATCTCCCCCTCCGTTTGCGACGGGGCACGCCGAAAGGCGGCTGGCCGTCTCAACCGTACACCCTGTGGACGGCGGGCTGGACAGGCTACCACCCAACTGTGACGTTTCTGATTAGCTGGTGATAGCAACCGACGGTCTATTACCTAGCATCCTGCATATTATTTGCAATGTCATGTCATGGTACCAGTGGACCTTGTTAGATTGACTTCACGTATGAGTTCAAGACCCGTCTTGTGAAGCTGCAAGAGTCATAGTTTTTGTTTTTGTTTTTGCGTGGCCGGCTTAAAAATATATTTACGAATGCTCCAATGCAGATCCTCAGAACCAAGCAATGCTCTAAGGTACGCGTGAAACAGAAAGATGCTTCGTTTCAGGATCTACCTAAGGTACCGATAGCTTGGAAAAATACCATTCTGAGAATGGTTTGCTGGCGAGGAAGGCTGAGTACGGTGAAAATGGCTATAACCGCTGCATTTTACCTGAAATCTAATTTTTACCGATTCTTCACTTCAAAACCCACCTCACTTTTACCCACGAAACTGAAAAGCTGACGGCAAAGTTCAAGCGCGGGGCGTGGGGTAGAGGCCATCGTTAAGGAAACGTTGCAAATTGACATTGTCGCACATACGTTTTGAAATCCTCAGTAGTCCATGTACAAATGTAGGCTGTGACTGTCTGCGAGTTTCCTGAACTCGGACTGATATCAGATGTTCAACCTCGTAGTTGGCAGCAGCAGTCGAACTAATTTAGGGTCTTCGAACTAATCATGTGCTTTCGTGCCTTCATATTGGATGTCATATTGTTTTCATTATGACGTTCATTTCAGGGGATGGCGTATCTCCACAGCAGTGAGATTCGAAGTCACGGCAAGCTCAAGTCTTCAAATTGCGTTGTGGACAGCCGTTTTGTGCTCAAAATTACCGACTTTGGTTTACAAACACTGGATTCAGACGACGAAAACCAGAATCTGGACTCCTACGTATACTGGAGACGTGAGTAACAAATGCATGCGAGCATAAATAATGTTTGTGTGCTTGAAATAAGTAAAAGGATAGACCATGATGACTGGCCGAACCGATTGCCGACCACCGTGCCACTGTGTTGGCCGAGCCGATCGCCGACCACCGTAGTACCGTCCCTCTGGCGGACGGAAAACGAGACTGGCTGCGTGTAAGTCTCATATAGGTGGCAGAACAAGCACCTCTTTGGTGGAAGTCGGAGTCCCGAACTGATGGCCAGCTGGAAGAGTTCACAGGATGTGAGTACACTTGGAACCGATGTGGAACAGTTAACGAAGTTTGGGTGACTGGGTACAGATTCTAGGAAAATTATGGGTGTATGGGTGTGAATTAAGAAACGCTGCGCAATAATGCTGTTTGCTTCTTTTATTCGCACTAGTGTTGGACATATCAACGCAATGGAGTGTAAGATGGGTGTTAAAAAATGAAAGCTTTCCACAACTTAAAACTTAAACGGCTGAAGCATGCGAACGAGTTGATAAAACTAGGAAGGAAAGCGTAGCTGGTGGATAGGGCTCAGCTCCCTGCGTAGGGGGCAAACTGGGTAAAGCAACCCGTTAAGGCCTCCATTTCTAACCATTGTGCCACTGTTTCTCTGGCGGGCAGAAGACGAGACTGACTTTGAGTGACGCCCCTAAAGGGGGCAGCACAGACAGTTGCCGTTTGTTCCAGGGGAATGAGTCTGGAAGTTATTGATTCAGCGAGCTGATCTGAGCGTATGGTCTCTTCGTGGTAATCTTACAGTGTACATTGGACTAAGAGAGCTACTGAAGGACGCTGAGCTCCAATGTAAGCAACCGATGCTCATCTCACAGCTTGTTGTTTTCCACAATCGAGTCGCATTGCGTTAAAGGGAAGTGGTCACGTTGCCACATACCCGATGATGTTTGTGTAGGGTGACATTCGTGTAATCATGGAGCCTTAGGTAGCATCCGACCAACGGCACCAGCCTGGTACAGGTGTGGCGCATCCGTCTTGCATCAGCGACAATGTTTACCAATGTTTCGTGAGTATAGATGGTAGGGCTGGACAGGGAAGGTGAAAGGAACACCTCTAGGATGTCTCCGTAGCCTGAGATCGACGGCTGGGGCCAGTCTGTGCGCTGTGCATGCAGCGTGTTTGATCCGCCGCAGGTCGGCTTTGGACGTCACCGGAGCTGCTCAGGGCCCCCCAGCCACCGCCGGCGGGCACTCAAAAGGGCGACGTCTACTCCTTCGCGATCATCGTGCAGGAGATCATCATGAGAAAAGGCTCATTTTTCGTCCACAATGAAGACCTTTCACCAAAGGGTAAGCAGTCACATGTTTGCATTTATTAAGTTTTCTTCCAAGAAGGACGCTATGTGACGCCCAGAAAAAGAAACAGGGCGTTTATGAGGATTACTGTTGACTGATCGGTGGATGTAAAAACCGGGCGTTAATGCGTGGGTGAATTTGCCAGTTTTACTTAGGCTTTGTGACCTGTTATCACTGTTAACCTATGGCTACGTGTTGTGTGTGGGGGGTGGGGGAGGATAGAAACTGAACAACCAGTGATATAAATTGTCAAGAATAACGGTGCGGTATAAGTCGCTGTAGCGTTTTTCAGCCCAGCGGCCTATAAAATATAATTCAAGGTTTGTCAGGCGTCTCCAGGATAAACTTTGTATGAAGGATCAGATGCACCAACACTCCGCTTTATCGAGGATATCTCCAGAACCATCCAAGAGAGCCGGTGAAATCCGGACTGGGGAGGTCAGAACTGTGCACCTGAAATTATCAGACGGCGAAACGCTGTCTCAGGTCAGACCGTGTAAAGCTGCCAGGCTGAGAGGTGAACCGCAACAAATCCCTCAACATGACCGTTGTGAAATAAATGAGCTGCCAGCCTCTTAAGCTGTGGAATGTAGTGAAGCCGACAAAGTTTTGGCGAGGGCTACAGCGTGCGCCTTATGTTTGGGGTAAACGTTGTTTTGTTAAGACTTTCATGCTTTTAGCCGTTCATCAAGTGGCCTCATGATGCACAAAGGCATAGGCGTCCTGAAACCCATCATCGGTGGCGTATTTGTTGTTGATCGTTTAGGCTAAACGAGGGATATTTGTTTGTGTAATTGTCCATTCGCGTTCATGATAATGATAAGCGTTTTTAGTCATCAATGGTGGCTACGTTTCACGAATATAGCACGTCCGTCTTACGTGCGCTAAACGTCGGCCTGTGCCCTAAACGTCTTACAAAGGCTCACTAGTGTGCTTAGCTCGGAAATTTATCAGAACCGCATGGTGACTTTTGTTGGTTGTATTCCCCTCAATCCTTTACCTCATGACTCTACTGACCTAATCACCCCACTGACCTAATCAATCCACTACACCAAGAAGTAGTAGCCACCCCGCTCCCCGCAGGGCAAGGGAGTGGGGTGATTACTTTTTCTTGCCGCTCATTCTTTCCGTGACCGCAGGAAGAGGGCGTGCGAAAGCAATCGCCAGATTCGTCATGGCTGATGATATACTAAACTCGCTGCAAACGTTGCACCGTGAGCATTGCTCCAGCATAAGTCGGCGTGCGCGCTGCATTTTAAGGTGATGTGACAATGTGATTAGTGATGGTGACAGTGTGATTAGTGAATGTGACAGGTGATTAAGACAATGAGGGCATTTTGCTTCAAGATAAGTCAAGCCAGTGAGCTGTGAAGTTATTTTTAATATTTCAGAACATCTGTATGCCGTGTCGATTTGTTCTGTTCCACTGCGATGCATATACGCCAATGACATACTATGGGTGTGGCGTCGGGGAAGGGCGCGCTTGCTTAAAGGCCGCTGGGTACGTCGCCATCCTTTTCAGGATTTAATGAGATGCATTACTCATAAATTCTCCGTTTATCCTGAATCAGTCGGAGGCCGCTTCGATACTTCAGGAGTGTTCCACATTTGTATGAGGTTTTGAGTTGAGATAGCTATCTTGATCATCAATCGGTGCAGTTGCGGCCCTGCCTTAGTCTGTCAGACCTAAACCCCTTTAGTAAATGAACTACACGCTCGCGAGGTAATTATTTTAAAGTTACCCAGGCACTCATGCCTTTCAAACCCTACCAGTCTACTGGCGATGCGGTGTTGAAGGTCGAGGAATATACAGCTGCCAAGTCGTCATCTCTGGTGTTCGGGAGCACGTTTTCCGCTTGTAACGGCCGCCAATCGGCTCTCAACCAATGTTGTGCAAGCTGTGCAAGATTCTAATTCGAACTACGTTTTGTGCTACATTTTCAAGACATAACGCATTCTTGCTAGTAATAACTGACATAAGGCTTGCGATCGAATAAGTTATGGCGTTATATCCGAGTATTTGAATGCAACTTAGCGCTTTAACTCACGAATTAATGCACAAGAACGCCACGAAAAAGAGCCAAAACAAGAGCACCTAACGATATTTGGTACGGCACACATCTAGTACCGCTGCGGCCCACCTCTCGGGAGATGGAAGAACTACAAATGAGTGCTCTCATGCAAACGTTTAATGTTAATCAAACAATGACGTATTGAGGAGCACATTTACATAATAGAGAAATGGTGTTGTCTAGAGCAGCCTTTTCCACTTAAAAGTATCCCAACAGTTGTCAGTGAGCTAATTTCATCTTATCTGATGCTTTCTTTAATATCTTCAAATGCAAAACACTCCTTTTAATCTGTTTGATGGGTTGGTGCTCTGTCGGCCAGAGACACCAAGCCTGCTGCGGGGAGCTATTTTTTATAGTTTTGTCTTGCCTTCAAGCGTGAAGATGACGTATCGTGTGCGATTCTACACTTGAATATTTCGAATCGGCTGCTCATTAATATTGAAGGCATGCAATGGTGCACCGGCTTTTTACCCGCCGCCTGAAATTGGTTTGAGACGAGATGGCATATCAGTTAGTTCCATCTGATCTTTCCTGTTGCTGCGAACTGGATCTGCCAATGACAGGATACCGACTTTCGGCTGGCTGCGATGCGTGCCTGCCTGCCACCACATGCAATGTACAGACCGCTTCGGTGCCGACGGCACTAAAGCGCATGGGCGCACAGAGGCGACGACAGCGTGCGTGGCCGTGCTGACAGCAGCATGAGACGCGTTGTCTGGTGGTGAACGCGCGACGTTCCTGTGACGGAAAGGGAATTGTCGGTCAGCAGAGCCCTGCCGGCAGAGTTTAGTGTTACCGGATGCTCGTAGACTCAGTGCTCATGCTCAGAAGGCATATGGTGGCGGATTCATGTGGCGGGATGTCCGGTCCCAGTGGGATCGTAGCGACGGATCGTATTGCCCGACATTTCAGTCGCGTCGGTTCGGGCGGCTCGAGATATAATGAAACCCTAGCGGATGGGAACGGGAGAGTCGGTCAGTATGAGTGATTGGTTGATTACTGGTTGTGAAGCGTCTTGTCTAGCCCGTCGATATAAGCCCGAAGCGAGATTGGATCTCCCAGTCAGCTCGGATCTCCTGGCCCACCTGTTGCCGGACTCATCCAATATCACCGGGTGTAACTTCATATCGCCTTATGTAATTTCATCGTTGGTATCGGCTGGTTGTGGAGCGTCCCGTCTGATCTCTTAACGGGATATGGGACTCAGACGCGTCGCCGGAAAGCTGGGGTTGACAGAGTACTCGCAATGGCTTGGCATATCCCTGTGGCGGACATTCTGTGGGATGTGCTGGTAACGGGTACCTCAGGTTAAACCCACGCTAGTTGACAGCACTGGTGAATGTGATACAGCAAGATCACAGCACTCTAAATACTGCACAACGCAGCGTGGTACAGGGCGGGGTCAAGACCAGTTAAATGGCGCGTTTTGTTGTGTTTCCCGTGGAGATGTGCTAGAATTGAATCCTTGCGGCTTTCTTGCGACTTAATTCATCTCTGTAACGTGGTTTCTGTCTTAACATTGGCGGGTACTGTGCTATCATTGGGTTTTAAAAACAGCGGATACCATACGTTTCCCATGGATGACAAGCTACGGAAAGCAAGGATAGTCCTGGTTCAACGGGCAGCCACATGGCTTTCAAGCTGCCATCTCAGAGTTTGCCTTGACCACTTCCGCCGAGTGAGTATCTTTCTGAAAATTGTCTCGGTAAGTATTCATTAACGGACAACATGATATCACAGACAGTTGATATCAGGGTGCCGGCAGTCCTTATCTTCGGATGTCGTTCTCACATTATGTATATGAGGTGCACTGTATGATGTGTCGTCCACATGCATATATTGTTGTAAGGTACACATTGCTGTCAGGTACATATTGTTGTAAGGTTCGCTTGAGTGGGGCGATCAAGTTGGCCACTCTTGAGGAAACTATGCGGGCTAGAGGCATCAAATTCACAGGGTGTGTTGGCCTGGACGTGAACTTACGTAGGTCAGAGTGAAGTCCGTGGGAGATGTTTAATGCGGTTCCTGTTATCAGTTAATTCGAAATGAGCACCAGACACAGCTTCGTCTAACCTTCCGTTGTTTCATTAGATTGAACGGTTCCCTGGAAATTGACTTCGCTGCACCCATGGCCTGACTTTGGCCTGCCGTAGGTCAGCGACCTTACAAGGTGCATCTTATTTTGTCATGTCACACGATTTGCTATTCAGTTGCATTGTATATATATATATACTGCGAACCAGGCCATAGTGCAAAACATTAAAAAAATTCTGTCATTCACGGTGTCCCACGCAAATGTTGCAGTGATTTGCCTAAGTTCGGCAGAATGGTGCTGATAAAACCTTGCCTAAAGCACGCTTAACACTGACAACATATAAGCATTGACCTACCACACCAATGGCACCGATATGGCATAGTAACAGTAAATTTTAACACGCGCTGGTTTGGAAGGGTGGGTCAGATTGACCCCCCTAGGGGTGTTTCCGGAATGGTTTCCGAACGTCGCTACATAACTGTAGAAAGTTTAATAGCAAATCGCGTGACACTACAAAATCAGATGTATGTTGTAAGGTCGCTGAGCTACGACAGACCGAAGTCAGGCTTCATCTCCGCCACGTGCTGCTCCCGTCAGACGTCCGCCAGTGGGAACGCCTCAGGACCTGTGCGTGTCGCGCGCAGACTCCGTCCAACTGCGATGCGTGTGTTGGTCACGTTTTTCGCTGTATTGTTGTTGCTGGAAGCGATCAGTTGAATGTTTGCCCATTTGTATCTCATCCAGGCGCGGGGTTGGATTGACGAATTCCGAAAGCCCAGACGCATCCCAGAAGATGTGAACTATGAAGAGGTGAAGATGATACCAGCTGTCCTAGAACTGTCTTCCGATACTACCGCGTGCTGGTCAGAAAGAAGCCATGACAGACG